CCTTAAAAATGTAGAAAAAATACTTTTTTTTGTGTTTTAAAGTTTTTAAACACTTTTAAAAGTTGTTTAAAGTCTTTAAAAGTCTTTCAAAGTCTTTTTAAAGTTTGTAAAAGCTTTTAAAAGCTTTTAAAAGTCTTTTAAAAGTCTTTTAAAGTCTTTTAAATGTCTTTTAAAGTTTTTAAAAGTCTTTTACATATTTTAAAAGCCTTTTAAAGTTTTGAAAAGTCTTTTAAAGTTTGCAAAAGTCTTCTAAAGTTTCTAAAAGTCTTTTAAAGTTTTGAAAAGTTTTTAGAAGGTTTTTTCTTGCATTTTAAAGTTTTTAAAAGTCTGTAAAAGTTTTTAAAAGCCAACTCTGTCGAACAAGCCCTGTGGATCTAAACCCTGTGGTTCTGGTTCGGTGCAAAGGGTCAATGATACTACTACTACTACCACAACCACTACTACTACTACTACTACTACTACTACTACTACTACTACTACTACTACTACTACTACTACTACTGCGCTACCAGCTCAAGCGGCCGCGAATTGTAGCCGTCGAATCACCACAGGAGAGCCTGTGGAGGGCCCAACCAATAGAGATCCCAACAGATCCTGTTCCTCCAACCACTTTCAATTCTCTTAGATCAGCTTGCGCATGGGAGTGCTGTCAAATCTGTATTGAGGCTCACAGAAGTCTCAGTCATTTCTCGCACTCGGTGGTGATACAGGCACGCCAATTTGCAGGCGTTATACACCAGGAGGCCCGGTCCGAATTCCGGGGGGAGATATTCACTTGCTAAGCAAACTTGCCCTGCTCCTAAGCTTGAGGGTTCCCGGCTTACCGCACGCGGGGAGTTCGAACTGCTTACAGTTTGGGCGAAAAAGCGCGGATGGCACAGGGCCTATCATGCTTCACTCCATGTTCATGAATGGCACAGATCGCAAAGCAGATCTTTGGTTTCTTGAATATTCGGGTTTTACAAGGACACATTTTGAGCATGTCTACAGATGCTCTCCGCCGGTGCTGCCCCACCATGCCAACTGACTGGATTTAAAAGGCTCATGAGTCATGCAATGCCTCCAAGTCTTGCCTCTGGTCTTCGGAAGCTGAGATGGCACTGGCCAATGCTTGTATTTGGGTCGGTATTGCTCACAGACTCCACGGAAATTTGCTTGTTTCGTATTACCAGCGTGGGATGGTCGCAAATGCTTTCCAAGAGCAACGAAGGAGATGTTTGTTTGCTTCTACTTTCTTATAGCCAGGGAAAGCCAGTGTCTACAGTGGTCCCACCTTGCTAGGTCGCGTCAAGCAGCGAACTTCGAAGTCCAACTAACAACAACAACTCAACAACAGCACAACTTCGCTTTCTACGCTGCAAGTACTTGTACGTGGGAGCTTTGTTCTGGGGGGAGGCGATCTCCTTAAAGTGCAACCTGGTCATAGTATATGTCCTCGGAAGCTGTGGAACGCTGGCGCTCTGACGTGCGTCATACGCGTTTATTTGCTTGTCTCTTTGACTCACCCCGAGCTTTTATTCAAATTACATCTCTTCCACCACGATTGCGAGCCAGAAGCTGGGCAATCAGTGCAAGGGTCTTAGCCCCTGTATTGCCGGATTACGACTGCACAGCATCCAGGCATCCACGCCGGACCTGTCAGGTCTGTGACTGCACACTCAGGATTGCATGGGCTTGCAATCGTAGTTACGAATCTGGATTTGCTTAGTAGTTCCGTTCGTCGGGTAAGGCTTTTTCTGCAAGGTCAAGTAGTCCCGAACGTCGGGTAAGGCCGGACATGCTATTTACTTGCCAAGCTGGTAAACTCTGCCAAGTAGTCCCGTTCGTCGGGTGAGGCAGTTCTGTTCTGAGGCCGAGTAGTCCCGTTCGTCGGGTGAGGCCAGGCCATAGTGCTGTTGTGCTAAGTTCCTTTTTGAAGCTGCTGTTGGTCCTTATAAGCACTCCTAGACCCAGACTGGTCATGTAGCCAGAGTGTTTTGTTGATGGAATGCTTCTGCTGCTGAATGGAAAGAATGGCCCTTTGTGGCAACTGTGGCATCTTTTCGTAGATTAACTTCCTGACTGGACGTGTGCTGTACTTTCGTGGTTGTCTGGGGTCGTAAGCGTTAGTTTAACTTATTTGCTGTTTCCCTTTTGCTTGAAACAAGCTCAGCAGCCGAGCAAAACCCGCAGGTTCTGTGAGGGATGCCGCCAAAGTCCTGTTTTGCGAACAACTGCGCGTGCTGCGTCCTCGGACCGGCGCGCAAGTGCAGGTTTGCGCTCCACAGGCTGAGGCAACACTGCCAGCTATGGGGCCGGTACTAGCTGCTCTGCTTGGCCTAATTTGGCCAGTCTGGTTTCTTCCTTGCTGTTCCTTGGCCAAGCAAGGTCAATTTGGGTGTTGGTTTGATAAAACTTGCCCCATTGCTGAGCATGGGTCGTCATTAGCCCCTGCCAAGCCAAGGTGCGGGACTACCCGCACGAGCGTTTGCTACTACGATTATTATTACTACTACGACGACTACTACTGCACGCCTATGCCTACGCCTCCGCCTGCGACTGCGTTGACTACGGCTACTACTGCTTCGACTTATTTCACTACTGCTAGTACTTCTACTGCGACTCTTCGACTGCTACTGTTGCTACAACTGCTGCTCGAGTTTTGCCACTCGCGATGGTTCCGCGAAATGCATCAACAATTCCCCGACGAAACCAGCTCCAGAAGTAGGAATATTGATCGGCCCTCATATACAGATGTATATATGATTTATGTAGAAACATATCATAACCTACATCTTCGGTATATTCAAATGACATATGCATGTACATGAAACGTGCTATGCCATATTGTGTTTGATTTTAGTACGCATGTTATGTTGTGTAATATAGTGCAAAAAGCTAGCACGCATAGTATCAACAATAGCACGTCGTACTATGTTATCGTATATGTTTACTATATAAGGTTATAACCTATTGGGTTGTTCATCTTATATAAATATCTGACGTTTGTGTGCAGATTCACATATCGCATCATGCATTAGTTTCACTTCTATATATATATATGTACATGCGATGACATGTATGTACGTATGTATGTATGTATGTGTGTATATACACATGTGTTATACAGGTTGTTCTACCCAGAACCTGTTATAGTGTGCGGATGTACTACATCATAAATGCTATGGGCAATATACCAAGATATAACAACAGGCAATATAGTAGAGTGCAATGTAGTACATCATATGTAAAATCAACGAAGATAGGCTGAAATACTATCCGATGATGTATCATGATGTAGCAAAGTATCATGTAATACGATATGGTATAGCAAAATAAGTTGGGTCTATAACGAAACATGTCAGTATAGCACGGACAAATACACAACAACACAATGCATGACATGACGGTTGAACCTCGCGTGATGTTTACTTTTCTGCTTATCTTTGACATGATGTAAATGTCGTGTGCATGTACCGTATGAATTATGGTAAGCATGATACGTACATATGCTTGTCATATGTATAACTCTATGCGTATGTATACATGTATACTATAAGCAATACACATAGTTCACATTGGTTATGAACGTCTATGTCATATATGATACATTATGCACAAGCACACAGTGTGTGCATATATAGATATACACATTTAGTATTAGTATTTGCATGGTACATGAAACAGACCATATTATGATTCATGTGCCTCTATATGTGTGTGCATTGTACTGTGTAAACATACATATATACATGAAATTAAAATGACATTTAAATATGTATATATATATAGCCCTTAATATAAGTTATATAACCCGTTTAATATGCTATGTTACATAAATACGCACATACATACCTATATGGATGTAGAAAATGAATATATAAACATATATAATGTGTGTATGTAGACAGCATACAATGCATATAGTAAACATGCGAGAATACAACAATACAGAACGTTAATGACAACAGAATATGTATTGTAATGTATTAGTGTTTATCCTGTAGTGTGTGTAGTGTGAGTTATACACGTGTGTATATATATATATATACCTATGTGTGTGTTACTTTGTTGTATGCTATACTACTATGCATACATACAGAACATGTGCAGATTATGGAGTGTTTTGAACTTAAACTATACGTATGTTGTATGGATATATGGTCTCGGGCCCCGGGCTGCTACCCCCCCCACCCCCCTACCCCACCCCCCTGGCCCCCCTTCCCAGGGCTGTCTGCGACAACGGTCACAGGGATCGAGCTGGTTGGGGCCACGATCCTGGTGACAGTCCGTTTTCGGAAGATAGGATCGACATCGCGATGTCAAACCGCCAATTGCCCCTGGGATATGCTGGGATTGGGATTTGTTGGTGTCACGTTTCCCCTGACTCTCGCAAGTTTTTGACATTCGGGGCAATTTCCCAACGACATCGTGCTTTGCATGATTGTCTTTGTTTTCAAGCCGCGAAACACGGTTCGCACCGGAAGAGAGTCCACCACCCAAACCACGGGGGGGAGGAGGCGTCGGGTGTTAATGCAATGCTCCACGAGTGCACCAGACGACGGCTATACCACAGTGATAGAGGCACCATTGGCAACGGAAAACAGGGAAAACCGCCACCTCCAGTGTAGTAGCAATCGCAACAAGGATGACAATACAACTATTTGCAAATAGTTGTAAGCATACCTGTGTAGGTTTGGTAGCTGGTCAGCAGCCAATCCAATGTAAGTACAACAGCACAGCATGCGACAAGTTAGCCAAGATTGCAGCTTCTGCTTGGTGGCATGCTTGGGCACTTCGACTCAGGCTTGGAAAAAGGGCCGGTGTTCTTGCATACCTACTTAACAAATGGCGAACACAGGCACCACTACAGGCGGAGGCAATAACGAAGCCAAGAGACCAGGAGCCCAAGCACTGACAACACAGCACGGGGGGGGGAGGTGGGTGGGGGAGACCAAGCCCAAGCAAGACCACACACACCACACCATGGGGGTGGGGGGCGTCAGAACCCAGCACCGGAGGCCGTTTATGACGAGGATGGGCTGCTGACCTCCAATGCAGACTTCCGACGAGCACTGCAGAGCAAGATCCCAAGTTGTTTTGCTTGGCACCTCACAGTGCCATGCTAATTCAGTGTGTGCCGGATCAGGAGAACAGGTTGCTTCTCCATGTTGGTCCCACAGCAGTCGGTAGGAAGTCAACGAACACAGGCCAGGATCAATGACATATAAGTATAAGCTATCAAGACCACTCTGATGACCAAGCTCGTCGCCACCGATTCATTCTTTAGCTCATCCTTCTGCTGAGGAGTCTCACCGAAAATCTACGTCTATGACATGCAGGACCAGCTCTGCAAAGGAATTCTGGCATTGTGCCAGTATCTTCTGATATAGGAAGTTTGTCATCTCTGATGGTTTGCCCACCTCTTCGCTCCCCACCCGCCCGATTTGCGGAGACAGCATGAGGGATCGCATGAGTCCTCGCAATCTGACCCCAGTTGTTAAAGTGAATTCAAGGGCCTTCTGGGTGTTCATCCTTTGCTCCTCGTTTCGTCTGGGCGGCGTGTCTCTTTTCGGCGTTCTCATCTTTACACTGCTGTCTTCTTGTAAGCTACTACGACACAGATTGCAGATATGCCACTTGCACCAACGGCATGAGCCTCCGCAAGAAATCTCAGCATGTTGTATCTGCCGCAGCGTCCCAGTTCCAGTTCCCGTAAATTTAGAGGGGGCGTATTCGTCGGCGGACCGGAGAAACCGGTATGGAAGACGATCAGGCTCAACCTTCCATGGAAGAGGATCCTGCGATGCCACACCCTTTGGGTTCATGCGATCCCTGTATCTTCTTTGCAACTTCTGCTGGGTGCCACAGGGACGCTTGTCCGTTCTGTCACATTCACAAGCAGACGTTGGAAATCAGCCCCCAGAGGCCGGGCAAGCAGATTCGCATGCGCCTGAAGAAGACCATGCTGAATCTCTTGCAAAGCCGGGAGAGTTCGCCGGACAGGGCTCAGAACGAGCTGCAACACTGGGCTCGTAGGAGTGCTTTTGCACGCAACATTCTGACAGGCTACCTCGAGGCACAGGCAGACCCTGAGGATCAGGGTGCACCTGCCGCAGATGAAGTCCATGGTCAGCCGGCAACCAGTACTTTGGAAGATGGGCCTGAGCTGGAGTCGTTCCTGAAGGGGCGGCCGCTATCGCTCTAGCAAGAATATTTTGTTTCCTGGTTTTAGAATTCCATGTTTCCAATCAAATCTAGAATTGCATGTGCACAGCAACTCGAGTTGCTTCCACTCGGAAGATCCGACAGGCGGGTTTAAGCCTGCTTCTTATATCAGCTCACTCGGTTGCTTGTACAACAGACAGTCTCACCTGTGCTGACAATGATACGGCACCTAAGTGTGTTCTGCTGGCACTGGACATGGATGCTGTGCCATGTAGTGTAGCTTGGAACTGAAATTTGGTATCCAGTCCACCCTGCACGTCTCGGTCTCGGCTGCCCTGGTCAATGCCGGTGGGAGTCGTTCAATGGCCTGCCAGCTCAGCTGGAAGTTTTTCTGCAGGAAACCAGGCCGGTTCTGTTCCTGCAGTTGTTAACCAGCCATGGGGGTCTCATTTTGAGCTTTTCAGAAGACCTACCGGGCGGAAAGGAAGTCGAGCATTTCAATGTGGAGCTTTGACGAAAAAAGGAGATGGAGAGGTGTTGAAATGCTCCGTTCTTCACAGACCATGAAGGAGACGGTAGCATGTGGGGGTTTCCCAAAATAGGGGGCCCTAGTATAGTACCCTAAAATAGTAGGATCCTTATCATGAGGACCCCATAATATGGGGAACTCCCATGTTTCTTCGGCAGAGCTTCGACTGTGAGTCGATCTGCAGCGGACTTTCTTTTCCTTGCCCTGAGTTTGCCAAAGCCCAGAAAGCAAGGAGCTGATAGCTGTCGAAGGTTCGAGCTGACAGCTCACGATTATAAAGCTTTGTGAGCAGTCCGTGTGCGCGAGACCTGTACGGTGCCTGCCTTGATGGATTTGGGCTGGGCATGCCACCTCTCGGCGAAAAATCAGGGATGATAGGCTCAGCAAAGACATGTGCGCCGGGCGTAGGCTGGCCCAAAGCCTAGCTTGCAGGCATAAGGTTGAGTCGGTTCACCCTCCCCAGCGAAAGAGAGAAGCTGCATTGGACCAGAAGTTGAAAAGATGGCGCGTAAGCTCTTGGAGCAGTCTGTTCCAAGCACTGGCTTGTCTGAAGATCTCAGAATCAGGGCACGATGACACTCTGGATGCCTGCCTGCCACTTCGGCAACTTACCGAGACCCGGTAGCTGCTGCTGAAACCGTAAGACGGCCAGACCTCACGCTCTTTGTGAGGACATGGCGCAAGAGCTTCGGGATCGAACGGTGGAGGAGCCGAAGAGCTGACAGAACACCGTATTCTAATTTTTTTTGAGGCCAAGATTGTTTACAATCGTATCCTTGTAGTAACAAGAGGAATACTAACAATCCTTGCGGGATCCTACTAGGCATCGATGTGAGTTGCCTTGCTTTTCCGTAGCATCAAATGGCAATTTTCGCCCCTGCTGCGCTACGGTTGATGCTGCTCGTTCTTATGCAAGTCTTGCGGCAGTTGCCCTAGATTATACAATTAGTTACAGGTCTACATGTATAGTAAGAGGCATAGTACGAACCCGTACTGAACCCTGCTAGACATCAGCGGTATTTGCCTTATTTTCCGTAAAATAGTATGCAGTGGCCAATGTTTGAAGCTGCTTTACGAATACGTAGTGTCATCAACTCTGTCTGCCTCTTGCTTATGCAAGTCTTGCAGCAGTTGCCGCCTTCTTGCGGGCTTAGGGTGTAGGGGTTTAGCGTTTCGGGATTCTTGATTCTTGCCTACGAAAGCTAAAGGGGAGAAGCAGGCAGGCCGAGTCCTCGCTTTCAGGAGCTGCAGTCCTTGGAGGCAGAGGCGTGGCGGAGTCGCGGGATGGGGATAGGACGGAATTCCGAAAGCGTAGAGTCCTAGAGGCCGACCCGGCCCAGGGCAGCATAGGCACCTCCGTGTGGCCGCTCTACTTCCCTTCTCCAGGTTCAGAGTTCCTCGGACGCTTTCGGCGGCCTCTCCGTTACTGCCAAGGAGAGGAAAGACGAAGGGAACATGGCTGAGGGGAAGCTTGGAAAAAGCCGGGTGCCGCATTCCTTCTCGCATGGTCTCCCCCTTCTTGGGAAAAGGAGGGTGCTGCAGTCCCTTGCCTCCCGCATTTGGCACGTTTGCTTCGCATGCAATCTGCTCAGAGGAGAACTCTGCCCCGGAGCAGTCGCTTCAGTCCGAGAAGCAGGTCATTGCTGCACTCTTGCCGGTGCGGTGTAGTGGTTTCCAGTCACGTGTCGCTGTCCAGCGGTGTAATTATATCGGACTGCAGTTGACGTCAACAATGTCATGTCCGCTGATGACAGGCCGCTGTCACAAGGCATACTTTACCGATGCAGAGCACTCTGCGCCAGACTGCCACTCGACAGGGTCAACGATCCGTTGTATTTGCAGTCTAGAGGGCATTATAAGACCCCTGCTCATGCTAGGCAGCGGTCGGAGTAAAGCACAAGCTTGATCATGCTAGGTTTATCAATCTTATCCTTCTGGTTCGTGGCCTCTTAGTCTTGCTCTTATGATTCGTTTGACTGAATACGAGCAGTAGTTATTGTTCCATTAGGCAGTACAAGTTTGATAATTTTCTTATAAGAGTTGTGAGGGTGTTGAACACCCGACCTCGCAAGCCAAGGTAAGCGCAGGCAACTTGGCGATGCCGGTTGCCTTTCCATCAAACCCTGGCCTTTCAAAGTCCCAAATGGTATCGGGCGTCTCGCCGAGGCACTCCTGATCGGGATAGTTTTTGACAGGGATCTGAAAGCATGAGTAGTAATCACAACAACAGCAACAGCAACAGCAGCAACAGCAACAGCAACAACAAGAATAATTGTTTCAAACTCAAAACACCAATAATGTGAATACAACTATTAATAGCAAAGCAACGCCAGATCCAAAGCAAAAGCGGCATGCAGGGGCGTCTCAGAGATTAAGCTGCCGCTGCCAGGCTGAGCGTCACGCCACGTCTTCACTCCGCAAGGACATCCTGCGTGGTGGTGCCACTGGCCCAACCTCCGAGGACAACGAGCACTCCAAAGGGACGGACATACATGTACAATGGGATGCCGCTGAAACTCCACATGGCTGCTGCGCCGACGCAAGCCGTTTCATCGCGGCCTACGTTGCTGGTGAGGGCTGCCTCGGTTCCTGCAGTTCCTAAGATCATCCGGCAGGGCACGGTCCCGACACTGGTTTGCATCGAGCCTCCTTTCTGAATTTTTGTGTCAAGCCTTAGAGAGTGACTATTGACAACGGTAAAAACACTCCAGGACGACCGCGAGGGGCCAGACCTGCCTTCGAACGCAGACACCTCGCACGCTGCGCATGCAGGCGGTGCAGGTCCAGGGGACCCAGTTCGTTCCCATCTCGCAGCCACCCGTGCACGAGCAAAAGCCTCGCAAGGGCGGTGGCTGAGTGAAGCCGCACTGGATCCGGCGAAGCTGTCCAGCTGGGCCAAAGAAGCGCAAGAGGTTACTGTCTAATGCCTACCTCCACGGATGCGAATCATAGGAGGCCAAATGGGGTTTTAACCTATGGGGGTTTAGTAGGGATTCGGGTTCCCATAATAGGGTTCATATTAAGGAATCCCTACCCTAAGAATCTTAAACCCCCCTTGTGGCCTCCCATCAGCGAAGGGGTTATTCCAAATGCCGAATCCTCAGGCGTGCCTGCATGCAATCAGACCCCATCACGGAAATCACATGGGCGTGTACATGCGGGGTTTTACTGAAAAGCATCTTTCATACGTTCGAAGAGACGCGAAGTGCCCGAGTAAGAGCTCGTCACAAAGCGCTTCTTGCATCTGTTCACTGCGCTCGTGCTATTGACGCGATCAGCCTGGGATAGTGATGCAGAAAATTGTTGAAGACTAATTCCTCAGAGGTGCCAGCTTGGCAAATCGGAAGATGCTTGCATCTGTATGCAGGGAAGTCTACCATGAATAAAACTCGCTATAGATCTGACAGATCGACATTGAAGTGCGGAGCTTTCTGCAGTGAATGGCTCAGCCTTCCCGCTGTGGGTGATATCTGTGCGAACGATCCTTGATTCTCCATTGCCCGGCACTTGGTGCAAGTTTCAGCTAGGTTGGGTTGGGTAGTAGTTGTGGTGTCGGCGAACTTTACCGATCTTACCGTGATTAGCACTCATGTTCTGATGTTCGAGGTTGCCAGCCCTCGTCGCCTAAGCGCTCACCCAAGGCCAGCCCGACGAGATGTTCATCGTGAACTGGCCGCCTCGCCGCAGAACAGCTTTGCCAGCCGCAATCTAACTCATGAACATGCTTAGTATGACAGGGGCCACGAGCTCAACCCAACCCCTTCAAAAATTGGTCTAGGTTTAATTGCAGGTTCCCCGGCCGAACCTGCCGAAGAGAATACATCCTCATAGCATCTGCACATCAAAAGCCGGCAGCCTGACAGCCCTGGATCGCTTCGAGCTTCTTCGATTTGCTAGGCTACCTGGGGCTGACAAGAACGCGAAGATTCCGTTACTACTTGTAGGAGCACCCGGTGTGAGCTTATTGGTTTATCAAGTGACAGCAGCAATGCTGAATTTGGGCTAATTTGCCCGGACCCAGGGCTGCGTACTGCAGAGCAGAGCGTTTGTTTGCAAAGGCCCTATGGCTACCATTGTGGAGACAGAAGCTGTGTTTTAGTCTTAGCTTGTAGTTCATTTGAGCTTTTCGCTCACCGGCTGTCTTCTGTTAAACTTGGGTGATCAATAGGGTCATTGGTACCGTGTGCTGCCAGATCAGACAGCTCATTATGGAAGACCCTCGCACCAACGACATGAGCCTAGAGTTCTGAGTGAATACGGCATTTGTGCACATTCGAGACATTTCAAATCGCTGCGCGAGATATCTCAGCATGTTGTATCCGCCGCAACGTCCCAGTTCCAGTTCCTTTAAATTTAGAGGGGGCGTATTCGTCGGCGGACCGGAGAAACCGGTATGGAAGACGATCAGGCTCAACCTTCCATGGAAGAGGATCCTGCGATGCCACACCCTTTGGGTTCATGCGATCCCTGTATCTTCTTTGCAACTTCTGCCGGGTGCCACAGAGACGCTTGTCCGTTCTGTCACATTCACAAGCAGACTTTGGAAATCAGCCCCCAGAGACCGGGCAAGCAGATTCGCATGCGCCTGAAGAAGACCATGCTGAATCTCTTTGAACGCCGGGAGAGTTCGCCGGACAGGGCTCAGAACGAGCTGCAACACTGGGCTCGTAGGAGTGCTTTTGCACGCAACATTCTGACAGGCTACCTCGAGGCACAGGCAGACCCTGAGGCTCAGGGTGCACCTGCCGCAGATGAAGTCCATGGTCAGCCGGCAACCAGTACTTTGGAAGATGGGCCTGAGCTGGAGTCGTTCCTGAAGGGGCGGCCGCTATCGCTCTAGAGTGTTCTGCTTCCGGATTTCTCACAGATGCTGCACACCTGCCGAGCCAACAGAATCTCATGCTCCCGATACTAAATCTCGTGTTCAAAAAAATGTGCACACGGGTGCGGCATCAGACTAGGGATAGGCTTTTGGTACGCATGCTGTAATTTGTTTCGGCCGACCGAGATGTTAATCTCGATGGAGCCAGTGGCCAGGAGTTTCATCCACAGATGATCGTTCACAGAACTCAAGTGTTGCTTGTTTCCAATCCGGAAATCCCTGAGCGGTTTTTCACCGCCTCCAGTATCCTCCCACTTGGATGCTTGCAACACGCAGAGAAGTCTCACCTGTTTTCACAATGCTACCTAAGCTTCGTTTGCTGGCCATGGATGCTGCGCGATGTAGCTTGAACATGGCGAGATGATTATCCAGTCGACCCCGCGCATCCAATGGATTGCCAGTTGGAAGCTTTACTGCAGGAAGCCTAGCCGTTCCCGTTCCTGCCTTTTCCTGACCCGGTCCTGCACTGGTCTCGTACATCTTGAGTTTAACAGACGTGCCTGGCGGACAGGAAGTGAAGCATTTCAACGGGAAGCTTTGATGACAAGGGGATGTCGTTCTGCGTTGAGGCGTTGAAATGCTCCGTCCTTCACAGGAGTCTGACCCACGCAACACATCAGGAACGAGACACGAGATGACACGAGTATCGGTCAAGAGTCAGTCGCCCTCCAGCAGTACTGCTGAGCCGAGATCCGTCGCGTTGACACATACTTCAAAGCTTAGTCAGCAGTCTGTAGCGCTTTTACAAGACTTATATATGCAGTTGCCTCGATGGATTTGGGCTGGGACTGCAGCCTCTCAGGCGCGCAGCCCAAGGCCTAACGAGGGTGTACGATCAAGTTGATGGCAAGAAGCCGAAGCTCCGCAGGTAGCAGAGCCTGGAGAACCGCTGCATTGGACCAGAAGTTGAAAAGATGGCGCGTAAGCTCTTGGAGCAGTCTGTTCCAGGCACTGGCTTGGGCACGATGACACTCTAGATGCCTGCCTGCCCCTTCGGCAACTTACCGAGATCCGGTAGCCTGCTCCCGAAACCGAAAGACGGGCAGACCTCACGCGCTTTGTGAGGACATGGCACAAGAGCTTCGGGAGCGAACGGTGGAGGAGCCAGAGAACCCGAAACCTCAAACCTAAACCCTCAATGGTAGTAATTGTAAGACCTCTTTTACAAAGAACCCCAAAACTTAAACTGATCAGTGTGAGTCGTGAATGCTTCCTGTCGTCCGCCTGATGAAGCGGAACACATCGGTGCAGTTTGCTGCAAACTTCAGATCAGGATGTAATGCAACCTGATCTGAAGTCCGGGCCATGCCCAAGATGTTGAGGCAGGTTCGTGCCTGTTAGTCGTTTCTGTGCCGGGAAGGGCTGGCGCGTAAGACAGTCCCAATCAAGTCGTCGATGCCGAGCAAGCATCAGAAGGTACAGCAAAGACATTTTCCAAAGCTCATGCGATGAACCTTTGTCACTAGCTCTGCTTTTCTGCAGTTATCCCTTTGAGGAGCTGCAGTCCTTGGAGGCAGAGGCGTGGCGGAGTCACGGGATGGAAAGCTTCGAGTCATAATCCCGGCTCGACACATCCCGGCACAGGGTGCCGGCACGTCGGGTGTAGCATCGTAAGCACCTCCGGCTGGCCGCCCTACTTCCTTTCTCCAGGAGTTCCTGGGACGCTTTCGGCGGCCTCTCCACTGCATTCCGCTGCCAAATAGAGGAAAGAAGAAGGGAGGGAACATGGCTGAGGGGAACGGGAGGGTGCTGCAGTCCCTTGCCTCCCGCATTTGGCACGTGCTCAGAGGAGAACTCGGCCCCTGAGCAGTCGAAGGTCGGAACGCTTGGAAGCTAATGTCGGGCTCTTCGTGGTTTGCACATTGGGGTCAACAGCACTAGAGTTTTAGTTGAGACCGAAAGTATTGACTACTGGCATTACGGCGATCATTACGGCATATTTCCGCATCGCATTGCTGTGCCACGCTTCCGGCAGGGGTGGTTATTTGCTTGAAAGCTGTCTCTAATCAATTTGGGTTGAAGTCCAGCATGTCATGTCCGTAGATGACAGGCAGCCGTCAAAGGGCACACCGATGCAGAGCACTTTGCGCCAGACTGCTCCTCGACAGGGTCCCTGATCCGTTGTATCCGAAAGCTTGTTTTGGCATTGTAAGCACCCTGCTCATCTTGGGAAGCAGTCGGAGGGGAGGCACAAACTTGACCATAGTATTGTTGTCAGGCTTCTCCTCGTTATTGTTCTTGTCTTGTCGTTCTTGCTCTTGTGTTTCATACTACTACCAGTAGCAATAGTTTACTGTTAATCATACAGCAACTGCAGGGTTTGAACATCCGACCTCGCAAGCCAAAGCAAGGACATCCTGCGTGGTGGTGCCACTGGCCCAACCTCCGAGGACAACGAGCACTCCAAAGGGACGGACATACATGTACAATGGGATGCCGCTGAAACTCCACATGGCTGCTGCGCCGACGCAAGCCGTTTCATCGCGGTCGACGTTGCTGGTGAGGGCTTGCCTCGGTTCCTGCAGTTCCTAAGATCATCCGGCAGGGCACGCTCCCGACACTGGTTTGCATCGAGCCTCCTTTCTGAATTTTTGTGTCAAGCCTTAGAGAGATCTGCAGAGTGACTATTGACAACGGTAAAAACACTCCAGGACGACCGCGAGGGGCCAGACCTGCCTTCGAACGCAGACACCTCGCACGCTGCGCATGCAGGCGGTGCAGGTCCAGGGGACCCAGTTCGTTCCCATCTCGCAGCCACCCGTGCACGAGCAAAAGCCTCGCAAGGGCGGTGGCTGAGTGAAGCCGCACTGGATCCGGCGAAGCTGTCCAGCTGGGCCAAAGAAGCGCAAGAGGTTACTGTCTAATGCCTACCTCCACGGATGCGAAGGGGTTATTCCAAATGCCGAATCCTCAGGCGTGCCTGCATGCAATCAGACCCCATCACGGAAATCACATGGGCGTGTACATGCGGGGT